CCCCCCTGGCAAATCTGAGCTGCCACTGGGAGCACACAAAGGCAGGTTTGGATCCAACCCAAGGACGGCTCCGAGGCTTCGATTCAGAACTTGGCACTTTTTGGGTTATTTCTGTCTTTCCTCAAAAAAAAAAAAATAAATAGTCCTCGGGGGTGTGAAATCGAGTTAACGGGGAAAACAAGTCCTTGGAAGGCCCTGGAAATCACACAAGGCTTATTTATTGCTAAACACAGCAAAGTGGTGAACGACAACAAGTGTTGCCATGGGGGAGGTGTTGGGAATACCCCGGGATTGACACCAGCCCCTCCCTGCAAACCGTGTGTCCTGCAGCCTGAGAGCAGAGGGAGACCTTTGGAATGACTGGAAATGCAAGAAAAGCAGAATAAACGTCAAAGTTCTCGGGCCAGGAGCATTCTGGGACTCTGGGATTGTGTCATTCTGCAGCTGGGAAAAGCTGGGAGAAGGGATTTGCCCCCTTGCTGCTCCTGGGAAGGGTCAGCAGCAACCTGCTCCTTCTCATGGAATCTGGAAATCAGAAACAGCACCCAGGGGCTCTGCCTTGGTTCAATTCCCCTCCCTCCACTGCTAAAAAAATTACCTGATCTCACTCGGTCTGACCCCAAAAACTCCCCCACTGGGGCTGGAAATTGTAGTTCCAGCCCAAGAATAAAGACTGACCCGATGCCTGGGACTGGATCACTCCAAACCACTCACACACGGTCACAAACAGATAATAAACCTAATACAGAGCTGCAGAGGACATGATTAGTGCAGTTTATCAGGAGCATCTCTGACCAGGAAAAGGAGTGATCCATGAAAACTCTTTGAGATCTCACCACCCAGGTGGGATTTACCTGGATGGGCAGGGGCTGGAGGGGCCACATGGGTCACCTCACACCTCCCTCCACTGCTAAAAAATTACCTGATCTCACTCAGTCTGACCCCAAAAACTCCCCCACTGGGGCTGGAAATTGTCCTTCTAACCAAGAATAAAGGCAGCAGTGTCTGGAACAACTGACCTGAGTGACTGGATCACTCTAAACCACTCACACAGGGGCACAGACAGAAAATAAACCTTATACAGAGCTGCAGAGGACATGATTGGATGTGATTTATTGCTTTTATCCTGTCCCTTCCATGTTCCTTTTTCCAAGAGGTTCTCAGGCAGCACTGGGGGGGTGGAATGAGCTTTAAGGTTCCTTCCAACCCAAACCATTCCGTGATCCCACCATATCCCACCAATTCTGGCACCTCTATTCTCACTCCTATTATGACAAACTAAAAAATCACCAGTTCACAGGAAAAGTTCATCAAATCCCAGTAACCCCCCTGGCAAATCTGAGCTGCCACTGGGAGCACCACAAAGGCAGGAAAAGGAGTGATCCATGAAAGCTGTTTGAGATCTCACCACCCAGGTGGGATTTACCTGGATGGGCAGGGGCTGGGGGGCCACACACGGGTCACACTCACACCTCACAACGTCCAGGTTTGTTGGGAAACTGTCCCTGTAAACACAATTAACCAGCAGCTCCAGGGAAAACAAAACCAATTCTAAAAACCAAATATTATTATTTGAAGAACAGCAACCCCCTGAACACAGCAAGGGGGGCACACCTGGAGAAATGGGGGGAGAAATCAGGTCCTTTAACCCCTAAATGAGGACAAAGCTCCCTCCCCTCACCTCCCCATCTCTTCATGCCAGAGCATCAGTGCCAACCCTCCTCCTGAGCCCCCAACATTCCTCGTGGTGGTGCCAGGGAAAAAAAAAGCTCCCCCTCGGATTTAATCATCTTGCTTTTATCACTCATCCTGATGCACCCTCTCCTAATAAATAAATATGGGAAAAAAAATTGAATTGGGCCCCCTGGAAATTGCAGAGCCCTGCTGCAGCTGCATTAACTCCATTACCTCTCCCCAGACTTTCAGATCTGGTTCCATCAATTACCTCGCAGACGAAGTTTAAGCACTCAGCACTTCCTCGGAACAAAACAAGAGGCAAAAAGGTCCTGACGCTGCTGG